AACGCAAAGGAAAATCTCTTTAGATACTTAAGTGACAATTGAATTTATTTTTATAATTGTTTTAATAGCTTTTGTATAATCTTCATTGCTATTATGAGATATAAAATGTATTTATCAAGTCTGTAATCATTATGCCAAAAAATCTGAATTACTGTAATATTTTGCATATTGTTAAAACTGTAACTTTAATTTTAAAAAAAAATTAAAATAAAAAAAAATAAAGCCTTAAAAATAAAATACATAGAAAAGCACGTAGCATACTGCCATAGGAATTTTCCCCATACCTGTACAAAAATTGGAGCCACCAATCTTCTTGAGCTGCCAGTTGAATAAATACGTTATTTCATTATTATTACATAATTGCTTAAATTTATATTTCTTATTAATGGAGTTTTCATAATGTATTAATAAAGTAGCTTTTCACGTCTACTGGACAGTTTACTTCTGTGAACTTACTGCTATTAGAATCCTCAGTTTAGTACTATGAAGGCTGATAAGTTACCTTGTTAGTGTTTCATGGATGCTGTAGAAAACATGAGACTCATAGATCGGAAGCAAAGGACAGCAATAGCTGACAACCCAGCAAACAACATAAGCATCATTTTGCATTGGTCCCATTGCCCTCAAATTCCACAAGGGCCAAGCAGAAGATCTCTAGGGGGATGCTACCCATGCAGTGAGCATGAGGCAGAGTTGAGGGATTTGGAGCTTGACAGGTGGGCCTCTTTTAGAGCAAGTGTGTGTTCTTCCATATGCTTTCTAATTGATTTATAAGACCTCTCATCTATCAGAACAAATATTGTCTGATATGTCATTGAATAGTGACTATCTTAGCCTAGTTTGCTTTTTTTTATATTTGACTTACAAAGTTTTTCTCCATTCTTTCGAATTTCATGTGTAAAAATACTTTCCTGTTTCAATTTGAAAATATTAGCAGATTTCTTTTCTCTTATGCTTTTTAGCCTTTACCAGTTTAATCCCTTAGAATTTCCTTTTGAGTGTGCAAATGCTTTCCTTGTCTGGAAAGGTGCATTCATTCATACTAACTTTTCATCAGTACTTATTTTTTAATGGTTTTTATTGTATTATTTTAATCTATTTGTATGTTAACTTCAATCTTATTTTTAAATACTATATAGCATTATAGTAACTTAACATTCTGTGAATTTTTCCCCACAAGTTTTCTTTTATGTAGAAAAATTTGAATGTTTTAACTAATTGTTCTTTTTTTCTTTTTAATTAATTTTTTATTTTTTATTTTATGTGTTTTGCCTGCATGTATGTTAGTGCATCTGTGTGTGCAATGCCCACAGAGGCTGGAAGAAACTGGAGTTAAAGATAGTTGTGAGTCTCCATGTGGGTGCTGGGAATTGAACCTAAACCCTCTGCAAGAGCAGCCAGTGCTGACTGCTGAACCATTTTCTCAATCCCCATAACTAATTATTCTTGAGTGGGTCTTTCTTCTTTTTTCTCTTTCTTTCTTTCTTTCTTTCTTTCTTTCTTTCTCTTTCTTTCTTCCTTCCTTCCTTCCTTCCTTCCTTCCTTCCTTTCTTTCTTTCTTTCTCTCTCTTTCCTTCCGAAACAGACTGGATATAACTGGAAATGAAACCCTAAAGCTTTGTCTCTTATAACTTTATTTTCCTATAAAAGTCTTGATTATAACTTTTATGACAGTTTAATCTGCCATTTCAACAAGTACAGAAGCACAATTTATAACCAAATTTTCTTTCTTTCCTTTCTTTATTTCTTTCCTTTCTTTCTTTCTTTCTTTCTTTCTTTCTTTCTTTCTTTCTCCCTCCCTCCCTCGCTTCCTCCCTCCCTTCCTTATAGGTTCCTTGTAGTTTGGAATACTGGGATGAACTCCAGAAGGTTTTTGTTACTTTTCAAGAATTTAGTTTGTCCGAAAGCAAAGTTTGTGACCTGCAGTTGCCAGATATCAATCTGGTGAGTGATCAGAAGAAACTGGTATCTTCGGATCTCTGGAGAATTGTCTTGAACAGCAATCAAAATGGAGCAGATGACCAAAGGTAAGTCAGAGATGGATGGGCGAGACAGAGGCATTACACTAGGAAAGGTTACCAGACATCTTTTCTTCTCTGGTGACTTCTCACTTAGCTGTAACTTGGCTGTCTAGCACAAGCATGTGACTGAATTATAGAAAAAAGAGGAGAGCGAAATTCTGATCTTTGACAGCCTGCATTCAGCCCTAAGAACCCTCTCAAAAGAACCTGTTCCCTAAATGTAAAAAGAAAACAATTAAAATCAAACCCAAAAAAAGGAAAATAGCTCAGTAGACTCTTGATAAAGTATATATGAAGATAATTCTGGAGTATTGAAAAGAAGATTAAATAGTTCTTTTTTATTTTTTATTTTATGTGAATGAGTGTTCTGCCTACATGTATGTAAGTACATCTGTGTCATGCAATGCCTGCAGAAGCCAGAAGAGGACATCAAATCCCCTGGAACTGGAATTATGTAGGTGCTGGGAACCAAACCTGGGTCCTCTACAAGAGCAGCCAGTGCTCTTAACCACTGAGCCACCTCTCCAGCCCCACATTATCTACTTCTAAAGACAAATGCTGGAAATATGTCCATCTTACATGATTTTAAAGAACTTTAAAAGACAGACCTACAGACATTAGGAAAACTTGGCCAATCAAGTACCAATAGCTGACATTTTAACCAATTGTAAAGTCACATTGTTTAATAATGAATGCCAGAAGCTGCAGGCTTCAGGGATTCTGAGTCACATCACTAGAACCTCCTACTCCGTGTTGTAAGTCCAGATTATACCCATTTCCAGTGTTTGCCTGTTTGACGCATCTATTGGCATATGGTGGAAGGAATGACTTCAGCAGCTACTCTTCAGTATGTGTCTTTCCACACACCCCAGCCAAGCCTTTGTGCTCATACTTTGATGAAAGATGAGAAAGAGCTAAGCTGTGGTCAGCAGAGCCATTCCTTGGGCCATAGGGCATGTGCATGATGAAGCCCTGATGGTCTTTGCTTTCAGTGTCCTACCTTCCAGTTTTCCTGAGGGATGGCCTTAGTGTTGCTTCCTTCTCCTCCCCTCCCCCTATAACATTCAAACACTAATGGGAAGGAAGATATCTAGCATCCCAATACTCTGCAAGTCAAGTGATCTTTACTTGTATTTTGCCCATACATTATAGCACAGCATTTTTGTATTGTTTCCTACTTATTGTAATGGGAAATGATTTTTCTTTTGAAAGTCTATTTTTTAATAATATATTGCTAGTTGAAGCAATTATATTGAATTAATTCCAGCTAACATTTTGGTCTGTCGCCTCACAGTCTTTTTCATGTATTACTTTGTATGTTTGATAATAGTAATGTATTTTACACTTCATATGCTCTATTTCAAAGTCATCTAGGCTCTTTAAAAATAATTGCTTTCGGGGGTAAAAAAAAGTATTAATTACCTTCCTGTATATAACATAGTAATATATATATAGTCAATGAAAATATATGAGAGAAGTTGGGTCTTGATTTTACTAAAAGTAATGGAGCAATAAAAGAATACCAATTCTACAAGGAATTAGCAGATAGAAATATTACTTTTCAAAGCAGAGATTTCCTCAACAGAAACTGGGAAATTTCAGAGAATAACCTGGAGACAATTGTGTTGACTTTTTAAAATTTGAGTTCCATTAATAGTATCAAGTTAGAAATGATTTCTTGATTTTAATTAGGGAAGAATGCATTTTCATCATTGAAAAAAGTACTTTGGACTAGGTTAATTCTTCTGAATCTAAAACATTCATAAAAATTCCCATTGTGGTAAGTTTGGCACTGTTGAAATGTGGAGTCTTTACAGGACAGAAGTGCGTGCAGTCAGTCAAGTGCAGGCTCCATTCCCTGGCTCTTGCAGGGAATTTTCATATTACCTAATATTTCACAATTAATCTTATTTTAAATTGTTTGGAATTAATGCCTTTCCAAGTAGAAATTAATATCAATGAAATTAAATTACAGTTGGTTTAAAATTCAACATACTAAATCACAATTAATATTGAACTCAAGTTGGAAGAGGTGAGTATAGTCTCAAAATAGAAGGCCATGATCCAAAGGAACCAGTGCAGCTGAGGAAGTTGTTTATTGGTGGTCTGAGCTTTGGAACTACAAATGATAGTTTAAGAGAACATTAGAGAAGTGGGAACACTTGCAGAATCTGTGATAATGAGAGACCCCCCAAACAGAATGTTCCAGGGGATTTGGTTTGTGACTTAATCTTGTATTGAAGAAGTGGATGCAGCAATGTGTGCTCAACCACACAAGGTTGACAGATGTGTGGTAGAACTAATGAGGACTATTTCTAGAAAGGATTCTGTAAGTTCTGGTGCCCATGTAACAGTAAAGAAATTTTTGGTGGTGGCATTAAAGAAGATAAAGAATATAATTTGAGGGACTACTTTGAAAAGTATGGTAAGATTGAAACTGTAGAAGTTGTAGAAGATATGCAGAATAGGAAGAGGAGAGAATTTGATTTTGTAACTTTTGATGATCATGCAGCATTCTCCCAGGATGGATGGAGCAGGGTTAATGAGAGAGGCAGACAGCACCCACTGAAATGAATGCCAGTTGGTGCCCTGAGATACCTCTTGGGGAGCTTAACATAATCTCCCAAATAAATGTTAGACAAAGTAACCAGTATGGAGCCGCCTTTTGCTAAGAAGTAAAGGGGATTGAAATTTTTCTGTCATTAAATACTAGATAATATTATGTTAGGTCGTTTATATACAGTATCTCATTTAATACTTAGAAAGTAGGTCTGGCATCATCACAACTTCAGCTGAGCCTGATCACTAAACATCGTCACAATTGGGCTTGCTGACGTTGTGCTCATTCATTAAAGGAGGACCAAGCAGGGTCATTGGACCCTTACCAGATTATCCAGCCACTCCTAGCCAACTGTATGTAATTTGGCCCTAATCACACATGGCCTCCTGGATTTGGGGAGAGCTAAAGTATACAATCTGGGGAAGGCTAGGAAGAGAAGGCATGACCCATGCTGGGTAAAGGCTTTCCAGTGTGCATACCTTCATGCATACAACTCAGGAACCCCTCAGTTACTTCAGTAAGTAAGCTCAATAAATTCATTGGTTCCCCAATAAAACTTTAATCAAACATTAGCTTGACACTAGAACCTTAAAGGGGAGTAAGCATTGCTTAGCATCCCCAGGAAAAGAAGTCTCACAACAGATGGAAAATCTGTAGGTTTGTTACAATATAGACATGGTTGAGCAGGACCTTTGACTTATCTTCACATGGATGGAACTGGCAAAAGAAAGGAGCCAGGAGCTCCTCCCAAGCCCATGTGACCTTTGGGGAACAGATCCTCAAATGACTTTAAGTGTAAAACTAAATTGATTGGGGCTGGGGAGATGGCTCAGAGGTTAAGAACACTGGTTGTTCTTACAGAAGACCCAGGTTCGAAACTCAGCACCTACATGGCAGCTAACAACTGTCTGTAACTCCAGTCCCAGGGGATCCGACCTCTTTAAAAAGTTATTTAGACAATTATTTCTCATTGATGATTTTGTTCCTAACCAGAAAGTGCTGCTCAGAAGTAAGACTTCAAACCTTGGTCTCCAATACTGTAATGCCCACCTGTAGCTAAGGGAGACAACCAGCTATTGTTCTAAAATGATATATAAATTTGTTCTCTCCTCCTATCTAGAAGCCTTTGAGAGGGAACTGACACTGATTCTAACCACTCCAACAGCTATCAAAATACCTGAAAAGAAATCCTGAATCCATCACTCTAGAGTCCAGCCTTGGCAGACAAAAGAAAAATTAGGAGGAGCCCAATAGAGAGATGCTTTTGGAAGCTCTTTTCAAAAAATTCCAGTGGACTCTCATATGAACATTTGAAAATTGCCCTGTTCTTTCTAGATCCCTGTCTAGAACTTGTAATGCTAATTACTCTTGCCTTTACTTCTCCTTCACATCTCCTATTCATGATTCAAGGACCTTCTTCTCCCCCTAGAGATAAGAGCTATGCAATTTTGAGTCTTTTAGATAGACCCACTGAAGGGGTACTCCAGTTGCCATACCCTGCCTCCCTGTTCAGAATGGAAGAAGCCAGAGTGGTCTGTGTCCTGATTCCCTATTGGCAATTTGGGTAACCTCTTCAGAGGATGGTGTGATAAGAACAGGAGGTAGGAATTGGCTAGGCAGTTAGGGTAAAAAGACCCCAAAGAAAAGTAGCCAGTTTCTTGGCTAAAACTCACAGTATCCTTGGGCCTCTTAGCAACATACTCCATTCCAAAGGCCAAAACTGTTGAAAATATTTGGGAGCTTTAATCTAATCCGTAAAGATTTTTAAGATTACCTCTTCAGAGGCAGGAATGTTAGAGTAGCCAAATGCCCCATAAGAAAAATAAAGAAGAGTACATGAAGTTATCAGAAAAACAGTGATGGGGAGGGAGTGGGCATGGATTTGATTGAAATACCTTATATGCATGTATGAAATTCTCAATAAATTATTTATTTTAAAAAAAAGAAATGGAAAGACATGATGCGATTTAGACAATCTAGCACAGCAACTAGAGGATGGTTTCTTGCAGTTGACTAAGGTTCAAACTGTGGCTTGGCCGTGTATCCAGCAGGTGACTTTGTGTTTTCACATCTGCAAAAAATGAATAATAACAGTACCTACTCCACTGTTTTGAAATTTAAATGATTTCTTCCATGGAAACCTATAGAATAGAATAGTGGCTAAGTCATAGTAAGTACTCAATAAACATATATATTTATTTGCATGAAATATATATATATAACTATTACATATGTGCTAACAAATTTCATCATTTTAACGTTACTGCTCACATGGTTTTGCACCAATAAATAGCTGGAGTTCAGGGGGAAAAAATGGAACTAGGAAGACACATTGGGAAAGCCTATTTAGTAAGATTCAATAGAAATACTGAAGGTCTGACCCAGGAGGGTAGCATAGAAAGAGATGGATCCATGTGCACTCTGAACATGAACCAACTGGAACTCCTGACGGATTGTGTATGAAAAACAAAAAAAGAAAGGAAATCAAGAATGGATCTTAGGCAATAAAAATATCCAACGATTTAAACAATCTGAATCTCATCTCTGTATGAATGGACAAATTGTGCTGTGTCCAGTTGTCTGCATACTCATGATTCCACATCCTCAGATCAAACCAACTATGGATTAAAATTACTAAGAAAATGTTGCATCTCTTAAAAAAAAAAGTAGGTCTGGAGCTTTGCATGGTGGCACACGCCTTTAATCCTGGCTGAGAGAGGTAAATGGTAGATCTCTGTGAGATCAAGGCCAGCCTGGTCTACATATCAAGTTCCAGGTCAGCTGGGGCTACAGGGAAACTCTATCTCAAAAATAGGAGAGAGAGAGGGAAGGAGGGAGGGAGGGAGGGAGGGGAGAGGAGAAAGAAAGGTCTGATTGCTGTATTCATTTCATACAAGATGAAGTAACTAGTGCATTACAGTGTGAGTGGAAGAGTAGTAGGACTGCATGCATCTTTAACTAGACTAGCCCTGTTCACTCTCACTTAATCTATGTGCTGTGTTATAAATTAGTACTAACCATAGAGGGTTGCAGAGAGCAGCTCAGGGCTTCATCAGCCAAGTCAGATGATTGTTGGGGACCTGCTTCCCTTAGGAGCTCACTCCAGAAGAGCTTATATGGGTGGATTTTTAGGTATTACACCTGGCCCCTACTTACCTATTAAGAAAGATCAGTTCATATCTAGACACATTTGAATTCCCCCTTTGAAGGATTCATGCCCCTCTGTAGATCACCCAGGAGACCTGACTCTGGCAAGCGCGCATGTGCACGTATGCACACACACACGTTTTCATTGTTCTAAAAGTTCAAGTTTACAACTGAACTTACAGATGGCCAAACAAAGTGCTGGATCTTGAGCTCTGCATATTTCTAGGGCTCTTTTTTCAAATATTTTATTTATTATTTTTATTTTATGTGTATATGAGTATATTGCCTGCATGTATGTAAGTGCACCCGTGTCAGAAGAGGGCTTTGGATTCCCCTGGAATTGGAGTTAAGGACGGTTTGTAGCTGCCATATGGGTGCAGGGAATTGAACTCGGGTCCTTTGCAAGAGCATTGCATTCAGTGCTCTTACCCACTGAGCCATCTCTCCAGCCCCATATTTCTAGAGTTCTTACTTCTAGAAACTATTTCCCAGCATATTAGAAATGAGCAGTACCAGAGAACTCTGCAAACACTGCCACTGGCCATGAATTTGACCTGTTTTGAAAATCTTTGTTGAAATATAAATAGTATGGGTTGTGAGATTTGGATTTGGAGTTTTTACTTTCTATTTTTTGCCTGTTGTGCATCACATAAGTTTTCCTTTTGGTATTTGAGTCATGTCAAAGACTGTTATTTTAACTCATTAAGAAAATTGTGCAGGTGCTGGAGAGATATCCCAGTGGTTAGAAGCACTAGCTCTTGCAGAGGACCCAGGTTCAGTTCCCAGCACCCACATAGCAACTAACCACCATCTGTAATTCTAGTTCCAGAGAATCTGGAATTCTTCTGAAGATGGATGCCTTCACTCTTTAATCAGACTTATATAATGAATAATTTTAAAACAGTGAGCAAGAGATAATCCATGCAGTGTAATTGTCCATGGGACCTGCATTCTTTGCACATGGTCCTAACTAACTTTATTCTACTTAATACAATATTCAGTGGATGTTCAATAAAGAGTATTGATTAATTCATATGAGAACACAGGTATGGATGCTGTAGAGAGAAGTAAAACAACAGTGAAACATTTATGATGACACTGAGAGTGTTAGGTGGTTTGAACAGCAGAGCCTTACTCAGAATTGTGTTGTCCTCTGCTAATATGTATAAAAAAGTTGGATTGGCTCTAGATCAACATACCCTGAAGGCTGAAGAATAGTTTGAAAGTTTCCTGCCAACAATCCAAATAGAATATTCAACATGAGCTAGAGTTTTAGTAAATACATAAGATTTGATAATATATTGACTATAGGATTTTGAGTACTAACTTTCAAAACTCTTTTAGAAAGAAGTTGTACTTATACAATATTTGGAAATACAAGATATTAAACTTTTTATTATTTTCCACAGCTCTGCAAGTGAATCAGGTTCTCAAAGCACTTGTGACCCACTTGTAACTCCAACAGCGCTGGCTGCTTGCACCAGAGTCGACTCCTGTTTCACTCCGTGGTTTGTCCCAGCTCTTTGCATGGCTTTCCAGTTTGCACACCTGGAGATTCATCTCTGTCATCACCTTGACCAACTAGGCACAGGTGCAGTTCACTTCGGCATCAGGAGAGCATCTACTTAATATTTTATCTTGCATGTTCTCAAGACATAGTCTTCAATTTTGCCAGCTGCTTTATTTTCAGGAACTATAAAGTGAGCACTGGCAAAATTACTCTACAATTAATCTGGTACAGCACATGTACCCCTTACTTTTCACTGAGCTTCTGCTCCTATACATTATCAATGGTAATGTACTGACATGTTTCCTAATGAGAATTTTCAAAGATGTTTGTGAAAAACTGCAGGATTTGATGTTATTCCAATTAGGATCTTTTTTAAAGAAATATGTTTTAGTTCTATACCTACATTAGTGACATAAATTCCAAAAATACTTGATATTTATTGCTTGATTTCAAAAGTGCCTATCATATAAAAGATGGGAACAGTCTAAAATTAAGTTACAGGAATGCCATTTTTAGAAGTTTAAAAGGAATACGATTAAATTTCCCACACACATCAGAAGTAGCCTTTTACAAACTTGCCAGTGCTACTTGAATAATTATTTCTAAAGCTATGTTCTGTACCAAACCTTTTCTAGTTAATATATTTTGATTTAGGTATTTTTCAACCCACATGTAATGGAAAAAGAGGGAAAATCAGATTAAAACCAATCATAGTTGCTGTTAAGCATCTTGCCTTTTCAGCAAGAATAGAGTTTAGCTGCTTTTTCTAACTCTCTTTGAGTTACATTTTTATTCTTTTAGAGATCTGGGTAGTAGATATGGAGATTTAGATAGTTGCTTCCTCTTTTGTTTGTTTCTGTGATCAAAATTTTTGTCTGTGGGAGTGAAAATAGCCTTTGAACAGTATACATTTAAGTGATCTGATTAAATGTATTTTCAAGTAACAAATGGTACTTCAAAGATTTTATTATCTTCAGGACACTAAATTTATTAGCAGCAAATACTAAATTCAATAGTAAACTGAATCATTTAAAGGTCAACTCATTTGTTTCCTTAAAGTACTGACACATCTTGATTTGTTTTCCTTTTCTTAAAAGCTTCACCACAATACCTACAGCCCTTCATCTCTGATAAAAATGTGCCATCTGAACTAGAATACATGATTATTTCCTTCAGAGAGCCACACCTGTATCTTCGACAGTGGAACAGCGGGCCTTTCTGCCAGGAGATCCGATTTTCATGTCAAGTGGACTGTAAACTTTTAGAGTGCAGAAATGTTACAATGCAAAGCGTGGTGAAACCCTTCAGCATCCTTGGACAGGTCACGCTTTGCAGTGATGGAGTGCAAAAGCTGCTTGACTCCAGCATGATCATAGACTCAGTATTTGTAAACTTTGGGCAGCATGTAGTTCATTCTCTAAACACAGCAATACAAGCTTGGCAGCAGGTATGCACTTTCTAGAATAGTTTATGGCTTGGCTGCATGTGATCTTTTATTAGGCACTCTGTGTTATCACTTCTAATTATAACTTCGACATAAGCCAGAATGTGAGAGAATGAAGAATTTGATGGACACCACAGTGTGTGGCCTTCTTTGTTTTAGTAAGTAATGTGTGGTTTTTTTGGAAAACTTTGGAGAATATGGGTTCTATACACATGCATCAGAGATCATGTCCATGTAATTATGACTAGCATACCAAATCTTGGTGGAAAGTAACATACTTCCAGAAATTTTTTTCAGGTACCATGGCTTTATTTAGCTAAAGCTTCAACTTAGCTGGGCACCAGAGTGTCTGAATGTTCATTGCAGGAATGAGAAGCCTAAAATAAGCATTCCAGATTCTCAAACAAAAAAAAGAAAAGAAAAAGCAGTGAGATGGAGCCTGTGAATACAGTGTTGTCTTCATTTCTCCCATTTCTTTCCATTCTGCCTTTCTGATTCACTCAAGAGCTCTGCACAATGGTCTTCAGACTCAGAGAATTTTAATTGCTCTAATAATTTTTTGTATCTTTTATAAGAAATTGTCCATGTCAAAAAGTAGATGTACAAGCCATATTTAAAATGGGAAACCTGTCCATATCTGCCATCATGGAAGCAGTTCTACAGAATGTTTGCATGATAGCATGTCTAGCGATTTAACAACAAATCACCTCTGCCTATTCCAAACACTTGTGTGGAGCTGGCTTCCCAGGAGAAATGGTCCTTTCCCCTGTATTGGCCTTTTTCAGGGACAGGGGCACTGGAAGGTGGTAGGAGAGGCTCTAGTTCTCTAAAGAAGTTTCATGGGAACAAGTAAAAAGAATTTGGGGGAATTTTTATGAGAATAACTTGAGGATTTTTATGGAAATAATTTTATGAAATAAATAGGTCTATTTTTTTTAAAGTTCTCTTAACCTAAAAATTTTAGGAGAATTAAATTTCATGGAAATAAAATTCAATGTTTTCTTTATATGCATGAAGACCTATACAAGACTAAGGAATTAATTGCCTAACATGGTACTACAATAGCAAAGGGAGAGAAGATAACACATCTGGTTTATATTTTGAAAGTCTTTTTTAAGGGCATTCCATGGTTTTCTTGTTGCAGAGGACATGCGTAAAATAAGAGCTGGTGTGATCTAAATCTTTGCAGCTGGTTCAAATAGCAATGTGAAAAAAACCTCCATGGCTCCAATTTCGGGGGGGGGTGTCATATTTTGAACAATGCATTTAATAAAAAACAAACGTAGAAAATATAAAAGAATCATTGATGGAACATTTAAATCCAGGATATTTTTGTCTTGGTATCAGAGCTTTATAAGAGGATGCATATGTAGCAACTACTGCAAAATGGCCTTCAGAAATTTCAGTTTCCTCCCAGGGAAAAAAAATATTCTCTTAGACATAGCTATACATATAAATAAAATATGGTACATAAATATTTAAATGTTTTAAACCACATCAGAGTGTGACTGACTGACTGGCTAACATAGTGCCTTGCAAGAATATTCGGAGTTTTTTTTTTAAGGAATTGTATATTTGATTAAGTAGAGCCATATGTCACGTAGCATATTGCTGACAGGTACATTCTATGAATAGTTGGTTCTGATTTATACAGGGATTTGGCAATGTTAACATGAGCCACAAGAGGATATACTTCTGTAATTGTTGCTGTAATTTTCTTGTTTCCTCACATGTCAAGGGTACTTGCCACCAAGTTTTAATGTGGTAGACATCTAACCCTGTATATTCTAAAGTAAATATGAAAGTATATTGCTTTGAAATTAGAGGGCATCTGACATTGAAATGGGCTGATAAGGCTTATTACCTTCATTATTTGTACTCCAAATGTATTCTCTTTAGAGGGAAGTTTAATTCGTGAAATTTGGATTTTATTTTATGTTTAATAATGCTGACATTCAGTATATTTATTGGCAATAAAAATGAATTTAATAAGTAGGACAAGAGATTTGAGTTATCCATCTACTTATTTTTTTAATAAATTCTTATCAGACTAGTCATTTTACCCAGTGTTGGATAAACCAGACAGTTGAGGTATGAAATAGTTTAGCTTTTCACCTTCAGGTCATAAGTTCAAAATTAACAGAACTCATCAGTTTCTGATTTCTCCGGTTGTAGAGTTCCCCCCCCCCTCAAATGATTATGGTTTCATGAGACTAAGGACTCAAAATACCACCTTCAGTTTGCTTTAGATTTCTGTGTTACTTTCTTAGATTTGAACAAAATACCATTGAAGGGTTTTTTTTAATCAAAGTTACACACGTATTTCTTCCCTTATACTGAAACAGTATCTCTGCCAAGCTGCAAATGCCTGTACAACATGACATGAAATTCAAATATGAATAAGCCATCTTTAGCTACAATCCTTGCAAGGATTCTAGGACTCAGATTATCTGATGTTACACTAAATGCATATGAGCTTTTTTATATAACAGAATCTAAAACATTCCAAGAAATGTTTAAGCTTATTACAGTTATAATAAATTCCATAGATGAATGAGCATTAGAGAAAAGCAGTTCCCTAAGGACTTTTAGTATCCTCTAGGAAAATGTAAACAATCCCTTTGTGTTCTTTAATTTACATTTTTTTCCTAAAACCCTCATCATTTATTAAACCCTCATCAATTTTTAGAGATGAGGAAAGTATGATTTTTTTCCTACAAGCCCCATCTGGTAACTTAACTTCTATGTTGCTATTGATCCCAATTCATTATGAAGACTGAATTTTAATCTCAGGTTGTGAAACTAAGTGGGAGATTGGAATCAAATCCTTTCCATCGTGTTTGTATTCTTGGATGGAAAGAAGAGAAAACTGTTTACAAGGAGAGACGTTTATTTTGATTATATAATACTAAGTGGAAAAATCTCATCAAAACTAATTATGCACTATGATTCCAGTTTGATTAAAGGTTTATAGATAAATAATACATAAAATAGGAGTGGATAGAATGGACTGAAATAGTAACAGCCAGGACATTCAGAAAAGGAAGCTTGCTTGAAAATCCTTCAGAATGCTGCTAGCAAGTATTGTTGAGCACAAAAGCATACTCTTTTAATTAATATTTTCTAGAGAGGTGGTATGGTGGTTAAGAGCACTGGCTGCTCTTGTAGAGGACCCAGGTTTGGTTTCCAGTATCCACATGACAGCTAACAACCATCCCTAATTCTAGTTCCAGGGGATCCTATGTCCCTTCCTGGCCTCTGTGGTATTTGCATGCATGTGGTGCACTTCCATACATGCAGACAAAACACTCACACACATAAAAATGTTTTTTAAAAATTCATATTTTCTAGTTTTAAACAGCATGATTTTTTTTTCATCTTTTAGAGACAGGGTCTCCCTGTAGCCCCAGCTGTCCTGTAACTCACTATGTAGACCAGGCTGGCCCTGAACTCACAGAGATCCACCTGCCTCTGCCTCCTGAGTGCTGGGATTAAAGGCATGTGCCACCACGCCCGGCACATGATTTTTTTATTTTATTTTATGTGTATGAGTATTTTGCCTGCATGTATGTAACACCACATGCGTACAATGCTTGTGGAGGTCAGAAGAGGGCATAGGATCCCCTGGAACTGGGGTAAAAGACAGTTGATAGCTGCCATGTGGGTGCTGGGAACCAGTCCTGAGTCCTCCACAAGAGCAGCCAGTGCTCCTGACCCCTGAGCCATCTCTCCAATTCCATGTCAACATGTTTTTGCCAGTATAATTTTTTAAATATTTTATTTATTTTTTAATTTTATGTATATGAATGTATTGCCTACAAGTATACAATGGCCATGGAGGTGAGAAGAGGGTGCTGGGAATTGAACCCAGGTCCTCTGCAGGAGTAGCTGGTGCTCTTAACCACTGATCTATCTCTCCAGCCCCTTGCCAGTATAATTTTTAAAACTAGGTTTAGTCTAGTGCTTACCTGACATGCATCTGACCCTAGGTTCCATTCCCAACACAGTTAAAAAACATTCAATCTACTTTGTTTCTTACATGTTTTTGGAGTACTAATTCATCAGGATTTAACTAGAGAAAAAGTTGTAAATCATCTAAGTGTGGTACCTGTTCTTATGCAGCACAGTATTTAGCAATGGTACAAATTAACAAGTATCCTAAATGTGAAATATACAGTGTCATGTCAGCATAAAATAGAGACTGAGTCCCGTCAGGGCCTCTTCACCACCTGCAGTCATATAGGACCCACCTCAGGAACATTCTGCATGGCAAGGAATGGATTCTGTTTCCCATGATGACTCTATTTGTTGATGGCATTCTAGGTCTGGTCTCCATCCTAACTGGGTACCAGGTACAATAGACTCCTTGAGTTTCATGCCTCTTAATCCCTTGAATCACTGTGTTTCCAAGTTGTGCCAACCCTTTATTTTCCTTCCCCTCAATAAAGGGGCAAACTGTGGGATATGGCGTTCTTTAGATCCATAGTCAGGAAACAGGCCCACTGGAGAAGTATCTGCTGTGTATTATCTCCCATTACCTGCAAAGCAGTTCACTAACTAGAAATTTTTTCTTACATCCTCAAGTTGATCTTTTTATTAACTGTGATTTTTAGCTTACCAAAAGCTTGTATACTGGTTTTTAGGACACAACAAGTGTGAAAAAAATGTAAACACGGTGTAGCCAGTGTTTTGATGTAACTACAACCAGTAAAGACCCCATTAAGTTGAGAAACAATATCAACATAGGAACATATCACTAATTTGCTGAGCCTTAGCTGATTAATGGAACATATGAACTGACTGATCATTATTTGCTCAATGAAGCAGGTACTAGAAACTGTCTTGCAACGAACATTATTTCTCTTAAAAACTGCAAGTTGGCTTTTAAACTGATTCTGGAGTTGATCTGTTTTGCATGTTCAGCTTTTAGCAATAGAGGGAAAGTTAACGGTTTTATTTATCTATCTCCCTGAGTAGATTCACATACACAGACACACAGACACACACCCTCTCCCTTAAGGGATCTGGGGATGTATTAACCTAAATGATCCTTACATTCTGTAGGGTCCAAACTGTGGTTTAGGCTATTGGTCTTGATTGTGGAGTTTAGAGAATTGGGAACATGGTAATTTTAGCCTATAGTACTCTGCTCAGAAACGTGCACTACCCGGAATAGCACTCTTTATAGCATGTTAATTTGTTTTAAGAAATGTTAAAAGTTTCTGGGATCTCATTGTTCTTTTCCTCTTCTGTGTGTATGATTTATTTTTCAGGAGTATAAATCAAAACACACTTTCTTGGAACATATGATCTCTTTAAGGTATTTTCTGTGCTTATCCTGAAAGTATAGAATGCTTTATATACCAGAGCTAATGACAACAGATCTTTTGGAGTTTCTATGTTGTAACAATGGCCACTGGGCAGACAGCTGCCAAACATCTTGCAATTAATCTGATACACGTTGGCTTTCATAATCTTTTTCTTCCAGAACAAATGCCCCGAGGTAGAGGAATTGGTCTTCAGCCACTTTGTGATCTGTAATGACACACAGGAGACACTGCGGTTTGGCCAGGTGGACACTGATGAAAATATTCTGCTGGCGAGTCTCCATAGTCACCAGTACAGCTGGCGCTCTCACAAATCCCCACAGGTATTTAAGAAACAGCCTTACAAACAGCAATTGTTCAGTTTGGGGATTTGTTTATTCTGCATTTCTGTGCCTGTGTCCACTTATTTCCCTGTTTAAGTCCCCCAAGGAACCACACTGAAAGAAACTCAGGAATGCTCAGAGGTGGAGCAGGAGCACTCTCCTTCCCTGGAGTAGAGTGCTTCCTGCTAAGCACGGGTGCTGATTAAGGAGCAGGATGTGTTGGAAAGGAGATTGGCCTACAAAGCCCAAGCATAGAGATCTGGGTCCTGCTCTGTGGAACCTTGCTTTACTTTCTGTACTTTGGTTTTCTCATCTATAGAACGGGGATAAAAATATGTAGAAGACATTAGACTGGTGCTTGGTGTGCATTCAGCATGTGTGCTGGGCACATTAGCCATTCATTTATTCAGATTTCCTCTGTGTGATTCTTTGCACTGGGTATATGCTTGACACTAGAAATGCAAAGACAAAGAAGTAACAGTCTGTGACTTCAGGGATAGTTCATGATCTGTAATGCAGTGACCACAATGACAAACTGTGCCCTCTGGAGCACTGAGAAAAGACATACCAAATGATGTCTGTTTTTCAAGTGGTAAAATTCCATTTTCCTGTCACTTTAGATGGGAATAATTAGAGAGACGTGCCCTGTAGGGATAATCTACGGATGAATTAGATGCAAAGATGTGGTCTTAAATGAGTAAAAGAAATCCTAGGAAGTATTCTAAAACTCTGGGTAATAAACTGTTATCTGCTTGTGATTAAAAGAAAGTCATTTGATTAGAATGCAAGTTTTCCCCTGTGGTCTATAGACCAGCTTCAGAATACGTTAGGCCCTCATGCCCTACCTTCTTCCTTTTCTTTTGTACTTCAGTATTGAGATTCTGGTCTTTCACTTTTTTTTGTTTTTCATGAAATTGCCATACTGCTGTTATGAAATTTGGAAAAGTAGATACAATGCAATGTTCTTTATTTATCTTAACTTTGAATCAACCTGACAGGACATTAAAATTATGTAAGTCTTTTGTGACACAAATTCTTTTTAAGATTCATTTTTATTACTTTTAATTTGTACATGTGTCTTTAACTGAGTGTGGGTATGTGCACACAAGTGTAGGTATGTGCACATGAATGCCAGAGGTGTCAGAATCCCTGGAACTGGAGTTAATAAGCAGTTGTAAATTGCCTCACGTGGGTGCTGGGAACTGAACTCGGGTCCTCTGGGCTCCAGTGCCTTGTAATACAAATTATTACAAAAACGTTTCACATAATATTGTACTCATAATTTTATAATGAATTACACACTTATTTACTAAATTTCCTCTTGAGAAATTTCCAGG